CACAATGCATACAAAGACTTAAATATATCATAATAGTTTCCTTGGTAATATTACAATATTTTGTCTTTAATTCATAAACCATGCGGTCCCTACCACCATGACCTATTGCAATGTGACTATCGTGTAAAATATCAAATAATTCGTCATTTGATACATAATAGTGTACATTTTCTGAATTATTACTTATAGATTTAATAAGTCGTTCTTGCCCATTGAGTGTTATTATATCATACTTACGAATGTATCTGTAATCCTTTGCACTTTTCTTCCCAATTTTTTCCTTAGCTAATTTAACTTCTTGCAATCTTAACATATATTCTTCTTTGTTTAAAAATGATTTATTATCTTCACGTTTATTTTTCAATAAATCAGATAATGCTTTGTAAAATTTTTGACGCATTTCATTTGAATTCATTTTTTTAATAAAACAATTCAACACTTTTCGAAATGAAAAACTATACAAAACTATAAACTATATTATACGAAAGTACAACGTAGACTGTAACAATACTTATGTTAGGTTAGTTGCCGTGAGTATTAAAACTATAAAAGATACCTATTATTATTCGTTATAAAACAGATACCTAATCTTAACGTGGGTTTTTAAAGTTAAAACGATAAAAGATAACATTGACTACACGACGATAGGATATGTTATAATAACTAGTGAATTTATCAAATTATAACATCGTCTGATTTATCAAGTCAATGTTACAAATATATGTTGATTATAGATAATGACCAAGTTACCCAGGCATTATATTAATTGGCTAGTCAATATCATCATTACCTGAATTTACGACCTTGACGGTAACATATATAATACATGCATATACAATAATATATATATGTTTTTTTAAATAAAAATACCTGCGATGACTTAGGCATTGGGAAACAAAATACTAATAATAATAATATGCATTATACACACAGATATAATAGATACCTAGGTACTTAAAAAGTCAAATTGTTGAACTATTTTTTTTTTTTATTGCATTCAAATGTATAGACGTATATTATATAGGTAAATAGTAAATGTGTAGCTTTAAATTAACTACAGATTCGTAAATTATATATCATGGATATTTAATTCAAGCCAAACTATATTATGTGACACATTAATTAAAAGTAGAGGTTTTGGTATACACATTATTCAAAATATTATATTTGAAATTATATCATTTTTAAAACCAATTGAACTTAAAAGTTATAATTAAAAAACCTAGTAATATGACATGTTTAAAGAAATGTTGAATACTTTTCAGTAAGATTTAAAAAGTAACAATAAGAGCCTTTTAATAAAAATGCAGTATTTAGATAGGTACTTTGAAGTTTGAAATATGGAAAATCACTTATGGGTAGTCCGGTAGTCGTATGAATAGTCCGAATGCAAGTACCTATATAGGTTTTTGACTCGCAGTTACGTATATTATAATGATGTCCAATAACCACTCGCAAAGTCCTAAATGTTGTGTGATATTTTATATTTCCACATATTAATATGATGGAAATAAATTAAATATTTTTTTTTACAATACAGGCTGTATATTGTAAATCAGTAGTTACCTAAAAAGCTAGATGCATAAATATAGGTATACTCGTACATCGTACACTATATACATACGCCATACGTAAATCTACGTACATCTTTTCTTTTTTTCTTTACCTTTTTCACTCAACTACCTATATATTATGGCTTACTGATTTTAATATGTTACTATTTACTTATAAGTTATAATATAAGGAAATGTAAGACATGAGATAAATTTAAGAAACGAAACATTAAATTAAATATAATTTACTAGCGAAAAAATGCATTATGTATTTATGTCTATACAAATGCCAAACCTCTCCTTTGATATATATATATATATTTTTAAATCTAATAGACATGTATTATAAGCACATTTTTCACAAGCTATACACCAATATACAATTATAACTGGTGGAACTGCTTTCAGGTCTGAACCACACGAATCGGAATTGTTCAAAAGCATTGCCGACAACAACCCCGAAGACTTATTAAAATCGTCTGACTCGGACCTGGACGAGCCGTTGGACTATAAAGAAAATTCCTATTTTCCAGTCCGTGTGGGATCCGTCATCAACGACCGTTATCACATAATAAAGAAACTGGGTTGGGGTCATTTCTCAACCGTTTGGCTCTCTTGGGACGACGTGTGAGTATAATAATAAATAATAATATTATATCGCATTTTATTACACGAGTACCTAACGCGCGCAACCTCCATGGCTCCAAAGGCATATTATACAACGATATAACACACGTCTTAATGTTTATACGTTCGCCAACTGCATAGACGCAAATAGCAGAAATATGGGGGGGTTAGGACTTGATGGATCAGGCCCTCTCAAATATATTTCAGAATGAAAAGAGTGAATAAGCAAATTAAAGTATTTAAAATATAATTATAAAACAGCAAAAACAATGTAATATATATTCAATATTTTTATGTGATGAACATAGACTACCGCAATTAAAATATTATCTTTACAAGCTATAAAAAAACGTGACGACTACGAAACATTGAAAATGATATTAATTTAATAGATAGTGAATAAGCAATATTAAAAACAATATAAAAATGGAAATAAGAGTGCAGTTTTTATGTCCGTTGTCTGTATTAGTTTCTTATGTTGCATTGATCCAAAAAAATGTAATATGCTTTTAAAATACTAGGAGGTTATGTGAATCTCCTTAGATTTTTGCTAACCCCCTCGAATGTTCTATCTTAAATGCTCTTAATTCTTATATTCCAACGTTCCTAACCTATAGGATTGGGAACTTTTATATTGACTTTGCTATCTTTTTAGCTTATATCTGTAGTTTTCTTTTTTACAATAATTTCTAGGATTTATATTTTTTTTATATGTTTTACTATAATATAGGAGGTAATCACAAACAAAAAAACAATTTTTTCTTCAACGTTTGTACGATAAAATTATTTATTTGTACTTATTTGTATTACACTATTACGTAATAGATATACATGTTTAATTTTGCTAATTTTGCTATCCGTTTCGTCGATCGTGGCTGACGATGGGACATTCCATTGCTCTAATATTAATGCTGCAAGGAAAATCAAACTTTTAGTGCTTCCCGGTATACCGATGGTTTCGAGCAATCAGTGGTGATCACTAATCAACATGATAACGTTTACGATGATTAGTCGATAGGTACTCGATTCTCGGTCGTACTTCGTAGTGTGTACTGATATTGTTTGAGTTCGTGGATTTTAATAATTTATAAATCTATTATGGGAAAAGATAAGTGATCCAGTAACATAATATTTGAATTCATTTTGGTATATAAGCCTAAAATGAAAGATTTAAGAGAAGACTCGATTTTTGTTTTTAGGTTTGAGTGGAGAGTGATGTAATTTTTTTCGCACATTTGTATGTCTTAAAGTGCTGCTTCCAACGTTTGTTTTGATGATTTCAGGTGCTAAGTCTGGAATACTGCTGCTTATATAGATGACATTTTTTTTAAAATTATTTTGTCTTTAAATTTTGGTTACCTTTTTATTCATAAAATAGTCAAAAATACTGGATAATATTTTTCAAACTTTTTTATGTAATAGAGAGATCCTAATCCGTTAGGAGCGAGGAATTTTTTTTTTTTGAGTTTTTGTTGGTAATTTATTCTTCCCCGTCCGCTGGAAAATTTGAAATGCTTTGTCACTGCCTGTGCTTATAATGCCTATTAATAGTCAAGCTGTTATATACATGGTGGGTATATAAGTAATATATATATAGTAATATATATAGTTTTAACTCTAAACACTTACAGCTTACCTCTATACGACTATACCTACTGTATAAGTACCTTTAGTCTTAAAAATGTACGTGAATGTGTGATTGCTTTAATGCATTTCACGAACCTATAATAGGTACCTAGCTAAAAAGTAGGCTCTCAGCCTGCAGTAGGGAACCCTTCGGGGGTACCTAGCTACTATATTATTGCTGTTAGTAATTTTTTATTACTATCATTATCTGCTTTGTTTGTAGTTTAGCACTTTTTAATCTTCAATAATATATTATACTAGACGGTGTGCAGACGAGATTTCTGCAGTATACACTAATGCACTATGCTGCATTATACCTGACACTAGAATATAATACACAAGTTACATAAAGTATATGTAAAGTTGTTTGTCAGACTTTATATAGAGTCGTTGTGGTTTATATTAAACATACAAGTGATACAACTGCAGAATAATAATGTTTTCATCGTATTCAGGAATGGAAAATTACCATTCATTCGGTGCACGATTTCCGATCATGTCAGAATAACCATGTTCTCAAATTTAAATAGGAAAGTCGGAAGTCACTAACTTCCTTACTTAGTATATGCACTTTCATGACATTCAATATCTCTGTGATGTGAGCAATATTGACAAAACGAAATATTATAACATAGTATTTCAATTGGTTCAGAATCTGAAATAGTCTTGAAAATATATTATAAAGGGATTTGCATACTTATATTACTTGTTTAAGTGTATATTTAATATGTATTATTATTATTTAAATTAATGTAATATCGTTTTTCATATCTGAGACGTTTTAATATTTTTTCAAACAATTTTAAAACAGTTCATTTTTTGCATTGGCGTGGGTTTCTGTTATTCAGATTATGCATTTACTTCAGATTGATTTATTTGTTTATTTTAATAAAATGTCATTAATTATGTATTTATGAACCAGCTAAAAAACCATAGTGAAAACGTGTTCGTTATATTTTAATTTCATAAAATATTAAAATATTGTTGTTATTAATTTATCATCTTTCATCTAGATACCTACTATAGAGTTCAAAATGAATTATCATAATAAATTTAAAACTTATTTTGTTGGTATTAGATAGAATGGAATAAAATTGATTAATTTATATAAATTATTACCTACATTTTGTCATATTATTATTATTTTTGATGATGATTGTAATTTTTTTTTTTATTGTAAACTATTAAATTATTAGAAAAATTGATTTCTTCATCCTATTAGCAGTATAATTAGATACATTTTAACTAAATTATTATCTTACGTCAAGCGATTAGTACATATAATACCAAACAATTGAAAAATATAATTATCATGATTTCATTTTTAATATTTATTAACAATATTTTAATTATTTGCATTAATAATCATTGTTTTAAAATTGATATAGGTAAATTAAATTTGTATTATTTATTAACATAATATAATATCAACCTAACCTATTTTTCACAGACTCTATTATGAATTATGATTATGTAACTACTTCATGTTTGTAATTATCAATATTCTCTTCTTGTATATTTTCATAAATTGAATATTTTTGAAATTTTCTTAACCAACTCCTATTTTTCCTTAAACTGTAGAAACTTTTTTAGAAAACAACTTCTACAATATTAAAATTGCCTGAAGTGGGACAAAAAGATTTAATATTAACGTAATTATATACAAAAACAAAAGTTAATCAACTCAATTTTAAGAAATACGAACAATTTTTTTAAGAATGTAAACAATTTATTTTATTGCAAAATATATAAAAATAAGCTTGATATAATTAAAATGAATTTATAAATCGTCACATTTAATGTATCATCAATCATTAAAAACATAATTAATTATTTTCGAAATATGATCTTATAAGTTATATTATAGTGAATATTTCAACATCATAAATTATGACTTCAGACTTGACCTAAAATCATAATTAATATCAGACCATCTTCTTGGTACCTAGTTAAAAGTTCACATGAAATGAATACGGAATAAATGAATAATATTGTATGATATATATTTCAATGTGATTATTTTTAACTTAAAATCTAAACTATAATATACGTTAATGGATGCCTAAAAAGCTAAAACTTATAATTCAAACTTTAAATAAGATATTTTATCGGTAAAGCATATTTAAAAGCATTCAAATTTAATTTCAAATACAGGAAGTTACCTAAGTTCAGTTTTATTTGAATTTCTCTCAGGTGTTATACGGTGAGAGTTATACTCTCTTTTCTTATTTTTATTGATCTAAAGCCAACAACTTTGGCCATTAGCTATTACGTTAGAAGGATACGGTTGATTTGAAACACGTATTTTTGTGTGTGGCAAGGATGTATTGCTAGAAACCCGAGTGGTCACTGGTCACCCATCCGTGTGCTAGTAACGACTGCCGGTACGTACGCTCAGAGTTGCCGCAGACCGAGCGTACAACCGCGTCTCACCATGACACATGTTGTATTCTATTAACGATATTGTAGTTACATAATGTCTTCAATAGTCCCTAAACTAATTTTTAGCTAAGGAAAATATTTTTTAACGTTATTTAACGTAATCAAGGTTAGCCAATTTGTCTCCCTCTTCGAAACAAAATAATAGAGAGAGATAAATAATATCATTTAAATTTTACTCAAAATTGTTTAGTCAAGTGTATACATAAGTAATAACATCTCACTAACTTTTACATGTAGGTATATATACGATACATGCAAATAATGAAGTTTAAAAAATAAATCATGGAAAATATGAAAATATAATAAAATATAAGCTTTATATTCAAATAAGCATTTTACATCACAATTTTACATTGCTAAAAAACTACATCATTATTTATTATTATTATTATTCTAACAGCATAAGTTAGACATTTTAATGTTCATTGTTTTGAACAGAACTGGTAAAAAAATATAAATAATTTAAATTTGTATAGATAATATGATTGTATTTTTATCATTATAGGGCACACAACTTTTCAGCTCTGAAGGTAGTGAAATCCGCAGTTGACTACACAGAAAGTGCATTAGACGAAATACGAATGTTGAAAAGTGTAAGTATATCACCGAACCCGTACATGCGGATATCTATGTATACTTGTATACTGCACTATGTCACTTATCACTATACAGACATACAGTATTATAATTTATAATCGGTTTATCGGTTATCGTATTATCGTTTATATGTGCACAAAATGCCAACAAATAATAAAATATTATCATAGCAATAATATTATCATACTATTCAGATTTATCGTCACCGAGATATGGATACGAACCGTACAAAGATTATTCAGTTGTTTGACGATTTCCGAATAGACGGTTTGCGGGGTATGCACGTGGTCATGGTATTCGAGGCACTGGGACCCAATTTACTTAAGCTCATCAAGAGGACCAACTACCAGGGGATACCTCTGTACTTGGTGAAACATATCATCAGACAAGTGAGTTCAGCCGCTCAGGCGTTCAGCTGAGAGAACACGTTCTCAAGAAAAAAGTAGCTGCGCGCATTATATAAGTATTATTCACGCTGTATGAATAATACCGATTTGTGTGTGTGTGAACCTATAGGTGCTGCAAGGGCTGAAATACCTTCACGAGACTTGTCACATAATTCACACGGACATCAAGCCTGAGAATATATTGATTTGTGCTCAACACCAATACATAAAGCTAACAGCCGAAAACAGTTGCAAACAGATGTCTATACTGAGCTTACGTAAGTGTAGGAGGTACCTATATTATAATACAAATCATTAGGCGCCAATGCGTCCACAACTTATTGTAGAGTGGAGTATATTTGTACGGTGTAGTACTCGGCTGTCTTAACTAGTACCGTAGGTCTAACCTGTGTCACTTAATAGTCTATATAAGCATATATATATTGTATATTATATAGGAGGTACCTATATTATAATACAAATCATTAGGCGCCAATGCGTCCACAACTTATTGTAGAGTGGAGTATATTTGTACGGTGTAGTACTCGGCTGTCTTAACTAGTACCGTAGGTCTAACCTGTGTCACTTAATAGTCTATATAAGCATATATATATTGTATATTATACTTTATAAATAACATTAAATAAAAGTATTTAAATACCTGTTATTTTGCATTTTCAATGCAATAGGTGTTAAAGTTATTTGGTATTTATTCTGCGAATACAAAAAGGATATTATTTACAAGTCTGGGACACAAGCGCTAATGGATTGTGATGACAGTTCTATTTAACAACGATCGACTTGCACCGAGCAACAAAATGTTTGCTAACAATTCTTATAATATAATACATAAGTATTTTATATAATGTCAAACAATTCAAAATATCACTAATACGATTTACCAAAGAGTCAAATAAATAGATTTGGCTTGAGAAAAAAATCCAACCAAAATACCAAATTAAAGTAAATAAAAAAAAGTTAGGTATTTAACAACTAAAAACAATCAATTAAACAGATCAATACTATTTTTTTTCATTAGAGCAGTTAGTGCTTTAAAAGTACCGTGTGAAAGAAATTATTGTTTTTTTTGATTTGCTCAGTTTCCCGATAAAAAACTAACCTTAACGAAAATAATTACGAAAAATTTAAGACATTTCCGACAAGCCCATTTTTAACGTAAATTATTTCGTGGTAGGGCAAAAAAATAATAAATTTCAGAAATATACAAATTTTACACTAATTTAAGTATTAGGTATAGGTTTATTGTCTAAGCAATATAATATAAAATAAACAATTGATTATAAATTTAATAGTTTCAAAAATAATAATGAACTATGTTTCATTCTAATGAAAATCTTAACATCAGATCTTGATTCACTGTCAAAACTTTAATCTTTTCTGACATTCAATTAAGTTAGCTCGATGGTCACTATGAACTATGCTCTTCGAATACACATCTTGCATGGCTAGCTAGTGCCTATAGTAACCATAGTTCCTTCGATCTTCCTGATCAGGTCCGGACAATTTGAAAGTCATTAAATATCGTTTGGTAGACTAAATTACGTATAATATTATGTATAATTTCCAGTATACTAGTATCATTTACAGCAATAGTAAATATTTTACTGAAGGTATCTACGTCAATAACTGTATATTATTTTATTCTTATACGGTTTTATAGTTATTTACTGATGTATTTAAGTATTTTATTAATATGCCCATATACACGAAACATGGAGCTATCATTTATTCAAATACATCAACTTGTAAGGTTTATGAGTTTAAAATCGGTTTGAATATAAAATTATTATTGTAACTACTTTCAATTTTGTAATTATATAGGTAACAGAAAATGTGGAAAAAATAACGCCGATGAAAGATTACAGGGTAATTATCGATTAGACGGAATTCGATCGGAACAATCGTTGGACATGGAGAGCGGTTAGTATAAAATATATTTTATTAGTCGCCTGGTGTGACACGGTGGGTTGTATTCAGTCACGAAATGTGTTCTAGTTGTAATCATTGGCTGGCGTCTCTAGTTCCCGGATGGGTGACCACCCGGGTTCTTCGTCACAAATCCTCGACACACATCCTCGTGTTCCAAACCAACCGTACCCCCCAACCCACTACAAACATAATTGCCAGGCGCCCAGGCTTAATATCGATAAAAAAATACTAATTGCCTAAATGGTTAATGATAACAATAACTTAACATCATACTGATCAACTACAGTGGCGTATTTTGGGGGAGGGGGGGTGTCCACGGTGTCTGGACACTCCCCAAACCAAAAAAAAAATTCAATCTTTAATTTTGATAAATTTTAAAGGGAATTAGACAAACAGAAAAATGTGGTCCGTTATGAACTATTTTAATATTATACAAAGTCCTACACTAATTCGGAAAGAAAATAAATTTAGTTTTAAATAATGTACCTATCCTAGTATATTTTTAATTATTTATAAAACTGTTATTCTTATAGCACCACTGATATCGAATGTAACAAACAAAATATATAGTAATAATTATTAAATTATTGTGACCGATGATGATAACTATATAGGTACTAATGTATATTAATATCTTTAAATAATATTATGTTATTATTATCCTATTACAGTATACATGCAATTTATATTTTTATCTTGCGGCTCTGTGCCTTCATGTGTCTGTGTTACTTGTTTTTCCAACCGGAATTTGTGTTGTGTTTATTTAGATATTAATATACTACAATGATGTTTTTTTTTAAATATAATTATACGTTGGATCTTAAATATCCATGTACATTTATTTTAAAACATATTATTTTTTATCAATTGAATTTGAATAATTTTTCATTTAATCGTCGCCGAAGAAACAAGGCAGATAAAATATACATTGAAATAGTAATATTATCATATTCTTGAATTCATTATTTAAATTAATTTATATAATACTTTTAAGTGTATTTACTATTTTCTTTTTTCTATTTTAAAAATTATTATTTGCTTTTATTTTTAAATTAAAATTATGTTTACAGTATGTATTTTATACATGTATGATTTAAGTTACATAAAAATTACTACTTTTAATTAAATAAACAAAAAATGTTTCATTACAATATTTGAAGAGTATATTATTATGAACTTAGTGGTAGTATAATGTAAAACAGAGAAATATTGCAATCAATTAACAAATAAGTATATACCTATATTATCTGGACACCCCCCAAAAAAAAACATACAACATACGCCACTGATCAACTATGCATATAAATTATAGATAATATTATTAAGATCTGATGATTTTGATTTCTTGTCAAATATCTGTGCAGAATTTTCATCTACTTCAGAATAACGAACTACAAATTGTTGTGAATCATCATCTACCAAATGGCTAATATAATTATTATTCTATTTGTTTAACAAATATTTATTACTTTTGTATGTTTTGTTTAGAGAGTTATGCCGAATCAAATTGTTATTTTAGAAAAATTAGTAAATTCAAAAGATTATACGAATTGTTGGATGATTTGGGAAGTGTAAATATTAAAATAGCTGATCTCGGTAACGCTTGTTGGGAGGTAATTATTGTGTCTTAAATCTTAATTATTAATAACGTGATGGTATTTGCATCATTAAATAATGATATCATGTTATTATGTTAACACTCCATTAGTGTTTTTAACTATTAACATCGAGTGTATAATACCTAAAGTGTCATATTGAACACTCGGTATTGCAACATATTATAATACTGAACTTGAGATTATTATACATATATTTGTATGGTATTGCAAAATAGGCATAATTTATATCTTTTACATAAGACTTGTCATAATTTTATCTTATTTTTTCGTAGGATAATCACTACACAGAAAACATTCAAACTCGTCAATACCGAAGTCTGGAGGTTCTCCTAGGTGCTGGATACGGCACACCTGCGGATATTTGGAGCACAGCTTGTCTGGTATGTTTTTTTCAACTATGACTTTTAATAATATATTTGTGCATATTGTTTTCTGTGTCTAACAAATTTAAAATATTTACTTGAAACCTATTACTAGAAATATTTGATTGTAACATAATCCATAGGTATATCTTAAAAATATTTATATATCTAATATAATAACTTAACTTGTCAGGTGGCACCGCTAAAAGCCTTCCTGTTCTTAATATAAATGTCATTGTGCAATTTACAGCAGATTTACTTATTATAACATGTTTGTATAGATCGTAAATATATTAATCTAAATAAAAAAAATGTATAATAATACATTATATTTCTTAAATAAATACATATATCTTAACGTTGTTTTTGATTTTACAATGACAAGTGGTTTTTTTACGTTTATTTTCGCAAAAACACTTTTTGAGATTTAAGTATAAAAGGTAGATACTTAAACATACAATATTATTTAATTTTCAATTAAAAAATATATTTATTATAAATATTAGGTAGGTATGTAATTAATAGTAATATCCAATAGGTATGAACAAAATGTAAGCAAGCTATCATAACATACAAAGAATAAAAACAGCTTCGTTGCAGACTTGCACTTGAGAATCGTAAATGTCGAACTCGATGACTCGTTGTAGCTTTCAGATGTACAATCGCACATACCTTAAGATTTTAACAGGATGCCATACCCAAGTGTGTTTAATATACCCTATATTATATACGCATAACTTGCTAAAAAATATAAGTATCGTAAAAACCATCATAGGAACACAGATAATGTTCCTACCATAAAGTTTCATAATAGGTCGATTCACTCTAATGTTTAAACTAAAGGAATTAAACGTGATCTGTAGAGCGTAAATTACCTACTTGTAAGACGGAGACAACAAATGCGGATGTTGCGTCCTCTCAATATCTTATACAGTTATAGATTTATACGTATAAATGTATAATACAGTAAATACACGTTACATGAATATTGTAATTTGTAGATACGGACAATACGTACTTAAATAAAACACGTTCAAATTTTCAGGCATTCGAGCTGGCTACCGGCGATTTTTTATTCGACCCGCACTCTGGGGCCACTTACAACAAAGACGAAGACCATATAGCCCACATAATCGAGCTCTTAGGTCAGATACCGATGTACGTGATTCAAAGCGGCAAGCACTCCAGCAGCTTTTTCAGGACCAACGGTAATATTAATGATTTAATGCATGTAATGCAACTCATAAACTCATTATTTTTTGTAAAGCCACAAGATTTTGATAAGTCACGTTCACTGCGTATGTACTTAAGAGGATGCCGTAAATTCGCTTTTTAAGGGGTTTGTGTAGGCAATTTTAAATAATTATTCAAAGTAACTTACAAAAGGTCCTGTACTCCTACGTCAATACTATTGATAATAATTGTTGTATAATTACTAAATCATATTATAGGAAAACTGTTTCACTTGGGAAAAAAGTGAGAAGCCTACAGTTATAGATAAAAACCCAAATTTACCCAATTAAAAGAAGATTAATTTTACTGTGCTCTTTTTTTTTCAATTTCATGTTTGCAAAGAAATTAATTAAGATTGACTAACATAAATATAATGGGTTATAAAACTAAAATAGACGTATTTTTAGATTCTTAGTGTAGTTATGGAAGCAATGTCGGCTCGTGTGGTTCTCGGGATGTGGGGCACAAATATTTTACCTCCTTCCGGTCTCCCGTCTCTAATTTCTAATGATTCTAAAATGATTTTTAAATGTATTTATTTATTGTATAATATAATGTTGTACATTATTAAAAGAAAAATGTCAAATATAATACGCTTAAAATATTCTTTAAGCAATCGATAAAAACAAAATATTGTCTAATAACAATATAAATACAAATAAAACAGTGCTCGAACAGTATTGCGAATGACATATTTTATTATTTTTGTACTCGACCATTATAATTACGTGGAAAAATAATATGACTAAAAGCCGAAGACTGCCGATAATATTCCCAAATAAAAATAGAACTCCGCTGTGTAATTCGTGCCGACAAGTGGGGACCTACGGACGATTTTATGCAGTAGTTCGGGGCACAGCGGGTTTGTGACCGCCACGCATAAACGAATATTAATAAAATCATATTATACAATATTTATTGATCACTTGAAACATCGCGTCTGATAGAACTTCAATAATTGTCAGTTTTACCAACTATAATAATTATTAGGTATGTTTGATGTTTTATTTTGATTTCATTCTTATTATTCAAAATGTTAGATAGTGCTTGAGGAAATAAACTGTACAAATGTATTGAATTATTTGAATTTACAATTATGTGTAATGTTTTATCTGATTTTCTACTTTTACTTTTGTAGTTTCTGGTAGCTAATTGGATCTAGTTAGTAACCTATATAGGGGTCAAAAGTAAAAAATTCACAATATTTTTCAAAATAATTGAGAAAAATGAAAGAAAAACGACACAATATATTAGGTATATTATTTTATTGTAATTCAAAAACAAGTAACCTACCCAATAACCTGAAGTCTTAGGTCTATGATTCCTTAAAAAAATTACAATGTTATTAATGCAATATTTTTTATGAGCATTTAAAGTCAGAATTTTAACATTTGCATATTACTTCATAGTCAAAATTTAAAATTTAATTTTTCATACGCATGATTTTAAATCTAATACAAGATTCCTCATGAGTAGTTCATAGTTTCATGCTGAAACCAAAAACCTAGAATATATACAAATGCCTTTATTATAGACATTTGAATTTCTCATTTAGACGAAATTAGATATTAAATAAATAATAATAATTTTATTTATTTTCACACCTGTTTTACGACACGATTGAGCAAATTTATCGCCGTATCGAATCATAATATAGAAATACAAAAAAAAAACCTACACGATTGAATTTAAAAAAACATTGCTATATTACCTTTTTCAATTTTGAACTTTATCATGCAAAAAATATTAATTTAAATAATTATGAATTATAATCATACAAATTATAATAGTTAAAAAATAACTAACTTTACCTGTTTGATAATAATAATAGTAGTACCTTCACTATCGTGAAATTAAATAATATGACATATTAAATTGAATACTGATGTACCTTGGTATCTGTACCCATTAGGCATAAAATATAAAGTAGTAGAGATTTAGTATTTTTACAATTTTAATATTTGTTTCGTTAAAGCTTTTATGTTAAATTATATTTTTTAATTACTGCGGTGGATTGTAAGTTTATAGGTTTATGTTGAATTGAATTAATTTTGATTAAACTATTATTTATTGCTATCGATAATATTTTCGATAAAGCTGGGGCCTGGTCTAGGCTCACAGCTCGCAGCTCGTTTAAGTTTGATATTTTATTCATTTGTAATAATAATAATAATACTGAGAATAATAAGTTACAAAATGTCGGGAACGTGAATGTGGAAACGTCGCATAAAATATTATATTATGGCCAATTGCGTTGCTAAAAAGGTATATGCTCTATCTTGTTTTAGGGAATTGGCACGTGGTAAATGTTTTTTTTTTTATAATATAATACGAGAAGAATAGAATAAATGGTAAATTGTATAATAAAATACAAACTATTTTTTTAATATTGTTTTATTATGGGTGTTTTACTTACGGGTTTTTTTTAAGTAGGTCCCTGGCTTAAGTTTTGTTTCATCAATGTATATTATTTGTAAATTTTGTATTGTTTTAAAGATAATGCATCTCAATAATAAAACATATTTAAAGCCATACTACGCAGTGGACGCCGCAAAATTGTGTAGTGTGGCTCAGTCGGTCAGTCGATTTAAAAACGGCTGTTCAGACGGTAACGTTTAACGGCGATAAAACCGTTCGGAATCGACGCCGAAAATACCGCAGCCCGCTGGAAATCGAATCGGACTGTTGTCTGTCTTGCTAAATATACTTAAAATAGAAAAATCATCCATTCCAGTTACAGATTGTGTAAAAAAAAACTATTCCAACTTATCGATCTAATTACGGGAGCACCGCCATGTCTCTTGTACTCTTTAGATCTTACTATTTTCTTTACCTTACTACTTTTAAGATTTTAACAAATTTGGATTTATACCCTATTAAAATTTAGAAATGTGGTCTTTAACGAGGATTATTACGCTTATTCATATTAAGACATTTAAATCTGTTTTCGATAGTAAAATCGCTTAAACGGTTTTATCAAACCGATAGAATCAGACCAATCGGTATGATGGAATGAAACAAGATAGATTTCATCTGTATATATAACCTATCTAATCTAAAATATATTTCCGATACAAAACTTCTCCAGCGTTTACCGTTCGGTAAAATCCGGTCGGTCGTCTATTTGGACCCTTATACTAACGGTGAGTCTCAAGACCTCTTAAAATGGCCGTTTAATCGCCCTCGATAATATTAAATACATAATTTAGGTGGACCTTTACGAGCATCGTAACTGCAAATTGCTATACCTGCATACATAATTAATCATTGTTATACCTGTGCATAATTTTCCGTTACAGGCAATTTGAAACACATCAGTAACTTGAAACCGTGGTATCTATACGATGTGTTGACAGAGAAATACGAGTGGAACACGAAGGAGGCCAAGGCATTCTCATCGTTTCTGACACCAATGTTAGACTTGGATCAGGATAATCGAGCTTCAGCAACCCAATGTCTCTTAAACCCATGGATGTTGGCATAACGTATTCGTCATTCGATTATAAATAATTATATTATCATAAGTAGGTAGTATAGTGAAATTTCCATTATTATATTATACATGTGTGTGTGTTTACGAGTTTTACAGTTTTTAACTAATTATACAAACAAATGATTATACATACAGCATAGATACATACATACATTCATAGATATATATCCGACTGTATAAGCTCGTATGTATACTGCGTCTATATAACACCAATTAAGTTATATTTAAATGTTGTAAAATATATAATATAAACGTGTATGGCTATGTATTTTTTTTATGATCATAAGAGAGATGGACATTATTATATTTTGTCTTTTGCCCATAAAAGAAAAACGGGATCAACTATAATATAATGGCCTCACGCTTATATTATAAGACTCAATTTTCACTGATATATATTGAGAATTGAGATACTAACATTTATTAAATTATACCTTCTTTAAAAATTGTGAATAAAAATTAATATTAGTATCAAAGTTATTATATTTACAATGTATTAATCTTGAACGAACTAGGATTTTGATGAGTATACAATCTTTATAATGATATACGGGGTGATCGGGTTAACAGTTAGACAGTAAGACATTCAATAATAATGATTGTTACATTTATTGATCAACTAGTAGTTCTTTTTTTTTTACTATTATTTATTTATTGTGTACCTTCGAATTCGACCTCAATTCGCTGCCCTTTTCACAAATTGTACATGTCGTTTATGATATTTATTATGTGTATTTAAGTATAATTTTTAAGTACCTACTCGTATAATACTTACAACTTACCAGTTTTTGGCTCCGCGTTCTCGGGGTCAGTGGCGACTCGTGTATATGTGCACACGTGCACGTGCACTATCTACTAAAACTCAAGAAAAATTGAAAACATAAATCATGATAAAACAACTAAGTCCCTGTATTGTTATTAAGATTTTGTTTCAAAATTTAAATCTGTAAATTCAGAATATGAAAATAATATTATAATATTTAGATTGGGTTATTTCAAAGGTCAAACAACTGGGCGGTTTGTTCACGTCAGAACAAAGTACTGCAGTAGTGCACACAATTGCTATGCATGTTTGTACATTTTAGTGAAAAAATAAAACAAGTCAAAACACGCAACCCGCGTTATAACGGAATTGATGTGCACATTCGTTTTTGTGCATGTAACCATGTGCATTGTTTTCAGCAAATCATTTTTTTCGACGTCGCCGTCGCTCGTCGGCATTATAATTTATTTTTACTCTCACTCGTTTATTATGTTATTTATATTCCGATTGGCGATTATCAACCTATAATGTTCGTAAACTATTATTTAATACAATCTATAATATATATAAATATATATATTATACTGGTTATACATTTTTTGGACGTGTTCTATTTCAATAACAACCCACGAGCCGTCACTGAACTAACTACATATCACGAGCAATCAAATTAATTTAACGTTGTATTATTTTATGTGGTGTGCTAACTACAACCCAGGCCACATTTTAATTTATTCTGCACAATTTCGATGATTTATCTTTTACGTTATATTAAAACATATTTTATATCTTCGGATCTCATAGCCCATAAACTGAAGCTCAGAAGAATCTCCCCCCCCTCCCCCCAAAAAAAGAACATAATAATTATTTCACAGTCGACATATTATGGGCCAATAATTATTATTTTTTAATTAAAGTGAAGGTAAATTTTAAAAAAAATGGATCAGTTAAATTTAATTTCTCTGTTATAATATTAATACATTTTTAAATACTATTGCTTGGATCATAGAATAATAATGTATATTGTATATTAATATAATATCGCAATAATACGATCTTATAAAAATAAATTTAATAACTTTGTTTATTTAATGTTTATTTTTTTTTTGTTTTTATTTTGTTGTATTTTGTACAGACAGTAATATTTAAAATATTAATTGTCATTCACTGTATACTTTAAAACATAACGATACAAAATGTCGGGTATTGTGGTGTAAAAAGCCGATTTTTTGTTTTCAACGTGGTGGTGTTAAATGTAAATTGTAAGTGTTTATTTAATATTTTTATGGGAACACTTATTATTGGTGGATTGCGGGTAAATTCCCGTCTCCATGGATCACTGTAACTTAAAAATATTCAGCCTCCTAAGAAAAACTGTAGTTTTTCCCGTGTTCTAACTGTTTCACAAAACATTTATCGTACAACAATGATTTAAACTATTAGTGTATTATTGGAAATAAATAAAATCGAATTATATAAAAGTATAAAATACTATACTTTATGTCCTTGTGTTTTCAATTTGCAGTAGGTACCTATGTTATAATGCATATAGAAGTACAGAATATTATAAATCATGCGATTAATGATAAAACAACATATTATTATTTGTTAAAAAATATTAATTAACCTATACAACCTATACTCCATAGGTGCATTATATTATATTGTACCAGGAGCCAAATAATACTTTCAAAAATATTATAATTTCTTTAATTTAACTTGGCTAAAAGTATTTATGTATAAAGCCAATATTATATTCTTTTACTGAATAAGGGCATAAGTAAAATATACTTAGTAAAATAGTTTCTAATTTCCTTAATTTTAAACGTGCTCATACGTGGACACCTTGTTTAAGAAATTGAAATAAACCATTGTAATGAGGTATAAATAATAAATATTATCATTATGACAATATTATTGGTTAGTAATTAATGTAAATCAGTATTTTATTAATTTAAATGTTTATTTAATTTAAAAATATTTTTAAAAATGTCATTACATTTTTACTTTTTGTGCCAGAAACTGCTTATACAATGGAATATATATGTTTAAACATATATTATTATGATTATCAAATTACCTTAGCATAGGTTTACGTAGGTAATAGGTATAAATAAAATTGAAATAATTATTATAAATGTATTACTACAAACACTGGAATATTTATATTGTTTCTAAAGCATACATTTTAAAGTTATGTTGGACCTAATTTATCATTTTTTTTTTCATTCAATATTATTTTAATGTAAGAACGTTATAAATTATAAGCTTAACCAAGTGCATCTGATTTTTTAATTTCTGGAGATTATAGTACGAGATTTCCACGAACACGGAATTTAATGTATGTTATTAATGAGTAATGAGCCATATCTAACAATTTAAAAGTGTGAAACTTTTTACTTTAATACATTTTTTGTAGACGTGTCATTTTTAGAGTTGAATAATATAATTAAATCAAAATTTGGTTCTTGGACTTATAATTTGAAATTATGATAATTTATTGAAGTTGAATTATTTTTGTTGTTCAATAACGCTGTACAGACGAATACCGAACCTCGTCCCGAATTCCCGATTGCAAACACTATAATATCGAAATGTCACCCGTCGCAGTCATAGCCAATCGATTTTTGTGCTTATTTTGTTTTTAATATTTCTAGTTTCTAATTTTCTGTTATGAGACTGAAAGTTTCAGTAATATGTATTTTTCGATAAACATTTTTGAAGCCGTCGACATGATCGTGCATAATTATACCGTAATTATAAAATAACAATTTTTTAAAACATTTGTTATACCTTAGACGTACCTAAACTTGTAAATATTAAATAATAAATAATATATTATGTACAATTATACGTCAATACCTAAATTATACAACTATTGAACTGTATAAAATATAAAACAAAATGATTTAAATAGCACTTAAAATCTTCAAAATATGTACATTTGAAAAAAAATTAATTAGCTTAAAATAACCTCTGAAATGTTTAATATGTAAAATATGATACCTGAATTATTATAATATTTATATAAAAATATAGTAAAATATATTTTAATAAATGAATAAAGACCTGAAAAATTAATTAAATTTGTGAACTTCACTTCTTATACTCGTCGCAGTGTTTTCGGTCAGATTCCAGAGAGTGAATTACGATTACCTAGCCGATATTATTAAATATTAAATTAGTTATTATAAAATATATAGGAAGACATTTAGAATGTATTATTTGTATAATATAGATTGTTATATTATAATATCAATACATAATTTTATCTAATATAATAATATGAAAATTATTTAAATATGTACACTACCTATATGCAGTATTGTAGTCTAATATTTACACTCAAATTATATTATAACTAATATGCAATATCGACAAACTAATATACAAAAATATGCAAAATATAATTTTAAAATCATTATTTTATTTCGATTTATTTGTAAAGATGGTAGGTCACAAATTAAAATTCAATAATAACTGAAAATAATAATATTCCTTAAAGTATTTTTTTCTTACAATAATACACAATTTGATAAATATTAATCCCTAATATTATTCCCTAGACTATTGAAAAATATTTTCAAGTATAAAAAGAAAACAATATCCAGTAAACTGTTGAATGAATCATCCATATTGTTATATAAAACTGAGTATTATGCTCAGTAATTAACCCAAACATCCCGACCCTAATAATTTTATTTTATCATAACTTGTGATGTTTTTAGCTTAGAAGAGTTGATACAATGACACTTCATGAGACTGTTGAACAAATATAAAATAAATCCAGCTTTTTCAACTATTTCCAATTATTGTCGAGCCGCTAAAACTTATAAATTATAATATTGAAATGAATTGCTTATTTTTTCAATTACAGCCGTAGTTATATTATTATATGATACCACCTGTAAAAACGTTATTCGATAATATTGTCCTTACTTCTATGACATCTTTTTACCAATTGCCACAACTAATAACTATAGTTAATTTCTAGTTTAATAAGTGAAATATTTAAATATCTATAATTCATATTTTTATTTTTAAATTTTCAAATATTACATTACTACCAACGTTTATTTTTACATCAAATAGTAAGTGGAAAATATATCTGCTATCCAAAATTTAGTATGATACTAAAATGTGTTTTCGAAGAATTCTCTAGAGATATTGTTTATTTTGGTTATTATCGTAGTTAAAGAATATATACTTGAATTCGTATCTTTGCGGCTCTAAAATAACGATAACGGTCAATGAATAACACATTGACACGGCTAAAATGTACATATCAATGTGTCATAATAAGAAATTTGAAAAATAATAAAAATTACTCCTTAAAAACATGTTATACTTAGTCGATCATCAAAATTCATTTTCCACTATTTAAAAAAAAACTAATATTAATCTTATTGGGTGTCGAATGAAATGGTCAATCAGTTAATAGAATTCATATTATATTTTCTCTGCGAGAGATGAGAGGCTAGGGTGTACTAATTATTTAAAAGATTACTATTCAATATTAAGTAATTGTACGTTAATTGTACACATAAAATATTTTAAACTGTTTATTCATAAAATGCAATAACCATGTTGTTACAACTAAATACTTATAATTCCGGGAAACACGAAAATGAAAATTGCTGAATTCGATAGCTGAAAGCGATATACGTTATTTATACTCAAAAATAATACGAACAAAAATAGAAGTGCGGTGGTCGAACGTCCAAGTGCTATTTCTAAAATTTTAACGTCTCTCTCCAGGAACACACTCGCACATTAACGCGAATTAACGGTGGTACCGTTGCTGCTATGATGTTGTGCATTGAACAGAATCATAAATATTATATTATTTTCGCCAT